AGAGACAGCTGGGTGTGCAGACCAGCAGGTGATGGCTGGGGAGGTGGGGGACAGCAAGAGCTGAAAGGCTGGGGACACACAGTAAGAAAGGAGAGAAAAAAAATCCCATTTGGTTTTCTCTGGAGCAGAGCAGAGGCCATCGCTAACAAACCATGGAATAGTGTAATTCCAGGTCTCTCTCATTATTTTTATTTCCTTTCGGAACGCTCAGCAGTGGCAGCTCCAGGGAAATCCTCATGGCCAGAACCTCCTGCTTTCCTGCTGGTAGCAAAGTTGGACGGTGTGAAAAGTCTGTCCAGGCTTACCTGGGTGAGCAGCGGGAGCGCTGAGCTTCAGGAGCGCAGTCTGGAGCGGATCAGCTCGTGGCCATCTTATATACAGTTCACAGGATTACAGCCTGCATCTTCCAGAGGAGACACCCCTCCAGCAGGGTGACCTGAAACGTCTCTCACCCAATTACGTTGTCATACCCCTGTCTTCATTCGTCTCTTTCTCATTAACTTCTGCTCTGATGCTTTTCTCTGGAGTTAATGCACGATCCTTCCTAAGCTTGCCCCACCTGCAGACACATTTCGGAGGAATTTAACAGAAAAGGCTATTTTTACCACTGGAGGAGTTAGTTTAAGGTGATGCCCGAGCAACGCCCGAGACCCTTGGGTTTGGCAAACGTGTTTTGTGAGGAAGAGATCCTCAGTGACTGACACGCAGGGGAGGAAACCTCCTGAGAGTGCTTGCACGGTGAATAAAGAGAAAAGAAAACAAAGGAAGAAAAATGAAGATATTGTGATGAATGTGATTCCTTCCAGAAACTCCCTCCTCTGGATCCCGACGGGGAGGTAGGCATCGAGCAAAGAAATGTTTTCAAACAGTGCCACCAAGTGGCATTTGGAGTAGGGCACAGGGGTGACATGGTGTGTCCCAGAGCCAGTGAGCAGCTGGGGACTGTGGGCATGGGTGGGCTGCAACCGCCCGTTCACCAGAAGGGGAAACCGAGGCACATGGCAAGGAAGGGACTTAAACTCCGTGTGCTGTGTCCAGCACCAGTCCCTGCTGTAACCCTGTGTCCTGTGGGTGAGGCTGCTATACTGGGGCCCAGTGGCTTAACTGGGAGTCCCGCAGACCTGAAAGCGGTTATTGCTGTTTGCTCGGACAGTAAATGTTATATCTCCCTATGCTGTCGTATCGCCCCCCCAGCTGCTCCAAATGCAGTGTGACGTGAAAGGTGTTTCATACGCACTTTGAGGAAGACTTTTAGGTGTCCCCACTTTAGCTGTTTATTTTTTAAAGTCCCTTTCTTGACCAATACATGGTTAATAAGAATTTTTAGAAAGAAATTATATCAGAAATCCATGTAGCTTTTAAAGTACAAGGTGTTTTGGGCACAGAAAATGAAATACATCCAGTTCTGCACTCAAAAAAGCACTTCCAGGACAACACCCTTGCTTGCTCCATGCCTGGCACGGGGAAGGTTAATGGGTCCCACTTCGTTTATGGGAAATCCTTGCAGGTGTGCACAGGAGGGCTGGGAGAGGATAACTCTGAGAGGCTGTGGGGTCAGGAAGGCTTTGCAGGCTCTCCTGCCCTTTGGTTGTGTGCTGAGTCCTCTTGAGCTCATGGCTTCTTTTTCTCCGGCTGGTTCTGTCTGAAACCATGCCCTTTCTTTAAGATGAGAGATTTCTGATAGATCATAGTTTTAATCCCAGGTGCCACCAAGCAGCTCTTCTGTCAGTCTGAGCGGGCAGTGCCTGGAGAGGAGCCATGATCTCCTGGGCAGTGCCCTTTTATTTCTATCTATCAACCTGTCTATCATACCTGCACGGAAATGTACCACTTTCCTCTAACTTGTGGCGTATTTGCTGCTAACCTTCTCATTAAGCTGCAGTGAGGGCGGGGGACAATTACTGGGGCACCTTGGAGAGGCAGAAGTGGTTAGGGTGTTCTTGTTGAAGTTATTTCTAGTCAAACCACCCAGACCCCGAGCAGGGCGGCTTCTCCTCTTGTAGACAACTGTAGACAATAACAGGCTTATGTTGTACAGGATTTAACGCGTGCTTTGTGAAGCAGAAAAGGTTAGAGGGTCAAATGGTACGTGAAGAAGTTAAACATGCTGCAGAAGAGAAAAGAGGAAACCATCACTTTTAGCAGAGCTTGCAATAAACTGTGTGGAATCCAGGGAGCAGAGGGCAGGTGCTTCTGAGGCTTCTGCTAACGAAATCACATGGAACTTCAGTGGTGCTGCCTTGAGAGCTATGAAATAAGAGGGGAGGCTTTGCACAAGCTCACACCTGGCTTGAAATGATGCTGGGGGGGTTTGAACGTGGTTAGGATCGGGCTGGGAGGGGTTGCTCTGAAAAGTTCTGCAAAGAAGCTGATCTTCCTAGGAGCTCTTCTGCAACAGAAGAGCAGTATTTCTGTTGCTCTTTACCCCAAAAAACCACTCTTCCAGCAGAGCCAAATGGCTGAATGCAATTAGCTTGTGGTGCCTTTGGCTCAAATAAAGCTTCAGCTCCAATTTATCTGTTTTCACCCAATATCAAAAGGAACCAGCAGCCTGCGGTTAGAGATTCCTGGGCACCCCAAGGCCTTCAAGCCATGCTGGTGCTGGAAAGGCATCATTAGCACCACAACCTAAATTCTGGGGCAGGAGGGGTAGCGTCTCGCTTTAGCATGAAGGATAGCTCCTTCCCCTGGATGCTACCTGCACTTCAGAGAAGAATAAATACTTGGGGAGTTTGAGTTCGAAGCAGCCAAAATGCACGTTAATCGAGGCTGACTTTCCAGGGTGGATTTACCACGGAGGCATGGAGGTAAGGTGCACGGCGTGGCGGAGGAGGGAACAAGTCTGCAGCGCTTTGTTTACTTGGCAAACTCACTCTGCTAATATTCACAAATCTTTGAGGTGTATTTGCTGAAGGAGCTCTGTTTTCTGAGCTCGCTGGTAGAAAATACGTTGGGATACTGGGCAAACGAGCTTCTCTGGATAGGCTGAGTGTGTATTCAAGCTTAGGCTGCTGGTAATATTCTCTCTGGTTGCTTCCTTTAAGGAGTTTGATCAATTAATTTTATCTACGTCTGTCCAGTTTACATTTCTTTCTGTTTCTTGTGCAAAAAGGTATTCTAAGTATGCTGGTCTGTGTGCTCACACGAGGGGCAGCTGTGGCTCGCCAGGCTGTGGGCTGCACAGCTGGCATGGGTCTGGAGGAGTGGTGTACTCCAGAACTGGGTGAGCTGGAGGTGACACCTGGCTCATGGCAGCACTGGGACTTTGGCATGGTCATTTGGAGCAAGATTCATGTCAGAATAGCAGAAAAAAAAGAAAGGTGTGGAAAATTTAACTGTGTAGAGCTTTAAATACACAAGAGCTTTAAAGTAATTTAGTAGCTATTATTACCATCATGGTGACTGCTGAAAATCTACAGCTTAGATTGTGCTTAAATTTCTCCTGCCATATTTTAACGTGTAAAACTTCAGGTAAACCAACCTCACCTAAAATATTTTCTTTGAAAATATAACTAGAAAACTAGTGCCTACTCAGACAGCCCAGGATTATTTTCCTCTCTTCTGCCTGTGGACCTTGTGGATCTGGGAGGTTGCTCAGCTCCTCAGTTAATGGGGAGGAAGGCAGAAGCAGATGAAGGAGGTGTTGGGAGGGAAGGGGGCACAGAAAAGCATTGCCAGCAGTTGGGTGTGTGTGATGAGCGTGTGTCAGGCAGTAATGGCAGGGCCTGGTGTTGAGCTGGTGTTGGGTGTCAAGACTTGGGTGTGTTTAAGGTCTAGGGCTCAAGGGGATGGGAGTTAGGTCAGAGCGGTCAGGTGTCTCAATAAAAAATAAAGCAGGAAATTACTGTTTATTCCTGCATGACTCTGATTGTTCCTGCTCAGCAGGGAAGAGCAGAAGTGTGGGTTAGTGCTGATGAAGGAGGGAAAGTGCTGCGCTGAAGGTTTGATGTGAGAAAGCATTTAAATAGAGGTTTTGGAGAGCTGGAAGTCTTCTGGGCTCGAATGGATGGGGCTTGCTTTGGGAGATTAGAAGAAAAAGCAATGCCTGGTTAGTGCCTGCGCTCTGTGCAGCCATGGGACCCAGAGGTTTTATCTGTGGTTATTCCCTTCCTAACATGCTTCCTTTGCCTTTTCTTCCTGTTGTTGCCTTCTTTCTTTTGCCTGTTGTGAGCAGTTTACACCAAGGTTCAGGCTTACCTCCCTTTTCTTGCCTCATTCCATACATGAAGCGTGATTCCTAAACTTTCCCAGGGCTGGAGCCCATTATACAAAGAGTTTTATCGCTATATCTATGTCATTATCAGGAATTAAGCTAATTGGAATAAAATGCTTTATTTTCCTATGCTGCCTAGGCATTTCAGCAAGTTATTTCTGTTGCAACCTTCTTTATTGCTAATTCATTGTGACATTAAGAAGTGTAATACATCAGCTTTTCTGTAATACATGTTTCCACTTTTTTACATGTTAATGAGCGTATTTAACATATTTCTTCAGAGATAATTGGATTCTAAGTCTCCCTGTGGTAATGCACTGAAAGCCAGCTAGCAATGCCTTTAATATCTAAAAGACTCTTACTGCATTTGAATAATCCCACAATTAAAATCAGGACTTAATCTCTTGGCTGAAACAAGGCTTTTGAGGATACTTTTCTTGTTTTGAGTCAGTTTTAATACATATGTTAACTATACTTATGGAGAAGTTAATTAAACCCTTCCTTTGCATTTTTACCCCAGAACTCACAAAGGGACACAGGTATCTCAGATTATCTTGTTCCTCTCACCCGTTGATCCTCCTTGTG